CAATCTAAGCCGAATCACGGCGAACGCGAGCCTGGCCATCATCAGAAAATAAAATAGCCAAGTGGGACCGCAGCACTTTAATAGGAAGTGCTTCACAGTGATCACAGGCAGCACTCTCGAGAGCTGACTGCGTGTGCTGCGCTCCTAAACTAAATTAAGTCATATGCTCTCAATTAAAAATGCAGAACAATTAGTTAATGCGTTCATGACATCAAGGCTAGATTATTGTAATGCTCTACTCTGGGTGGTTACCCTGCACGTTTGATAAATAAACTACAGCTGGTCCAAAATGCAGACGCTAGAGACACCAGTTGATAATACCTAGAATACCAAAATCAACTACTGGTGGTAGATTCTTTTCCTATTTAGCACCAAAAATTTGTAACAGTCTTCCTAACATTGTCCTGGAAGCAGATACAGTCTGTGAGTTCAAATCTAGACTAAAAACACATCTCTTTGGCTTAACAAGCATAGACATAACACATTATAGACTTTTATAATTAAATGTTAGGATGCATAGTTAGATCAGACGGAACTGGGAACACTTCCCATAAATACTGATGTACTTGGTACATTGCAAGAAGGATGGCATCTACGCTAATAATAGTCTCTCTGTTTATCCTGAGGTTTACCGCAGTCCACTGGATCCAGGCCGTATCCAGATCTGATAAAGGACCAGCGCCTGGATATGAGGACAACCCAGTCCTGAAGTGTCAACTAGTCTCTCCCCTGTGAAAGCCTCCCTCCCTTTACCTCTGTACAGAGAAAACATTGTCAGGATAATTCCGTTTTGCATGGCTACGCAAACATGACAAAAATTTCTATATTGTAAATTTTTAAGATCAGACAGGTGGTTTGTTGAGGGTTGATTTGTGAAGAAGGACTACGCGCCTGTGCACATATATTTTCAAACAAGTATACCTATGGACATGTGCGCGTAGTCTGCATTTTCACAGGTTTGCGTTTTTGAGGTTTATGTAGAGATAACGTATAATGTTTTTTTTTTGGTCTTTTTTAAACGATTTGCACCTTCGAACCTATTTCAGGGAGTGTGTTCTCGAGACTCCATGCACTGTTTTATACACATGGGTGGCAGGAGCGTTTTAAGAGTTTTTCTGTTAGAACCGTGTCGAGTTAGCGGCCCCTAAGTTAATAACTCATAACTAATGATCTTCGCAACATAAATGAATGAATCAAAACTAACTTCAGCTGGACAATAACTTTTATCCAAATGCTGTTGTAAAGCCTAAACAATCTGTAATGGTAATTTCTATTATAACTGTAAAGCTGCTTTGAAACAATCCATACCACATGAAGAGAGGAGCCTAAGTAGAGGCTGTTGGGGATGAAAATTCCTGTTAATAATATTCTGATAACATTTTTATTGTATACATAGAATACCAACAATAAGGTGTACCAAATGAGTTGTTAACACTGCAAATATAATATTGTGTGTGCATGTGTGTTAAATGCCTTTGTATACTGTAAAAGCTTTTATTAGCACAGAGAAACGTTTACTTATCAATTTTGGTTAATAGTCTTGTGCATGTTAGACTCAAAAAACACTATATTCATGTAGTATAGAACAGGACATGACAGATATTTGATTCCATGCTCTGCAACATAACTTTTGAAACATGCACTTTTTTTCATGCAGTCTTTTCCTGCGATAAACAAGAAATGTGTTGATATGATTTTTGGTTTATTGTCTACCTATTGAGTGACATTTATAAATATCATATGTGCTAAAATGGGTAAGATTAATTAATCTGAGCTAATTTTTAACCACAACAACAAAGAGTACACATAATAAGGAAGGTACTACAACACTACGAGACTTTTTGTACCACAACAACTTCACACAACCACAAGATTCATAGCAGCAGAACAACTTACCCTGGATACTGCCAAATCTGTGAAGACAGAATAGAAGTGGTTATTTAGTAAGGTGTGTGTGTGTGTGTGGTCCTGGTGAACCCTATATGGGAACACAATGTCCCCACAAAGATGACAATTTCTGAAATCCTTGTCCTTGTGGGGATATTTTTATCCCTATAAGGAAAACAGCTTATAAATCATAATAAGTGATGTTTAAAAAAATGTAAAATATAAAAATTTCTGTAATGGGTAGATTTAGGGGTAGGGGATATAATATACAGTTCTTTATCGATGCGGTTCACTCGTATTGCGTCACTAGCTGCATTGGGGAAAACTAATTTTTCTCAGATTACTGAAGCCTACTGAAGCCACGAAGTGAAACAGCATGAGCCAATGGTTATGCTGTGGAGTTGCACAAACCAATGGCTACACAGCGGAGCTGCACGAGCCTATGGAGCTGAAGCCTGCCAAAATGGGCGGGGCTACCTGTCTATATAAACGAGCATTCAGCCGTAGGAACTACTTCAGCGACGAAGATCTTCTTTTCGCTGGACTCCGAGACAAGTCATAAAAAGCCTTGTTGTCAAACAAGCCACGCAATGGATCAGGCTGACCCAGCAGTGCCCTGCAAGCAAGCTGACGGTCTACCAGCAAGCTAATAAGTGGTACTCTTTGAGCAAGCTGATTGGTTGTACTCTGCACGCAAGCTTATTCAGCGTATCCCCTGTGGCAATCTGGCGATTACTATATGAGAGCGAATTTCTGTGCATTTCCGCTGACGGTGGCTGAAAATGACGCTCCTCCCCTGCTACTATCAAGTGAGTCTAACAGAGCTTATTTCTCTTAAAGAGCATCTTTTAGCCCGCCGTTTGTGTTCAAAATGCAGCACCTCGTCTCGCTGCATTCATGTGCCGCTTTCTTTAAAGCGTGAGATGCATGAGATGGACAAAAAATGAAGTTACAGGGCTGAAGGAACGGGACTAAGAGAGCTCACACAGGCCCATATCACACGTGTCAAAAAGGACGGCAGCCTCAAGCCCATCCTTCGATCTCAGGCATCAGATTTCCACGACGCATGCGCGAGAACTGCGATCTAACTCTACTCCTTGTTCAGTTCTCGCGCATGCATCATAGAAATCTCTTGAACATTCAAGCCTACAAGGAAGAAAAGCAATAGTCAAATTAAGTAATTATTTTTGTTGTTGTTTTTTCGCACAAAAAGTATTCTCGTCGCTTGCTTATATTTGAGCCACTGTAGTCACACAGAATATTTAAACATTTTCTTCAATGACTTTCTGGGCCGTCAAGTTTCTATCCCTTAGGGTGCTTATGTGGTAATAATCCTGCTCTCAAATTGAATCAAAAATATCTTCAATTGTGTTCCGAAGATGAACAAAGCTCTACGGGGTTGGTACAGCATTGGGGTGAGTAATTAATGACTTAATTTTCATTTTTGGGTGAACTAATCTTTTATTAAAAAAAATAAAAATAGTTCAAGTAGAAGACCGCCATCTAGTGGCGTTAAAAAATATTTACGTGTGCAATGTCCTGTACCAGCCTGTAGGCTGCCTATAGCAGAGGTCTCAAACTCAACTTAACTGAAGAAAGACTGCAGCAATAGAGATGAGACACAATACAAAAGAGAAAAGCTCAGAAAAAAAATCATGTAAAATAAAGGATTATGTCTGGGCAAGAGCTTTAGGATGCATGTTAATATTAGAAACTCTCTCCAGTGCTGGAGAGAGCTACGTGGGAAGGCCTGAAAAGAAGATGCAGATATTGAATTGATTCGGGTCCACACGTGAGTCCAACACTGGGTTTGAGTATCATTGTGTGTCTGGAGCTACTGTGCTGTTGGCAACTAACAACCAACTCTTGTCTGTAATTACTATTGTATAATGTACATTATTTTTGTGTGCTTTCTTGTCATTCATTCATCATCTGTGCTTTATTTTTCAAGAAGCATTATTCTATTGCACTTCTGTATAAACAGACATCCACTCTTGGTGTCACGATTCTGCCATCATCTCCTTGATTTGTCCTAGTCTTGTGGCAGGATCATGACAGACCCATGTTTTATGAGCAAGCACATGGCCATTTGTTTGGGCTGTGTGCTTGCATTTTCTTGTCACCTAACCCTGCCTCCTTGTTGTAATTATTAGACCATCGTTTTCACCTGTGTTCCTGATTAGTTTGCTCCCTATTTAATCCCCTCATGTCTTCTGTCCTGTGTCGATACATTGTGAGTTTATTGCTGTGAATATTTTGTCTGAAACCTGTTTTGTGAGAATTGTGAGTTTGTTTCCAGTCAAATCAGAGTCTTAGTTTGTCTTAGTCTAGTTGTACTCTCCTCCAGTCCTGTTTTGCCCCTCGTGGGTTTTGTTTTCTGTTTTGTCATTAATAAATCCCTATTTTGAGTTACTTGCTGTCTGCAATTGGGTTTATCCTTCAACCTCATAACACTTGGATTATGTGAGTCCAGTTAGTGAAAGTCTAAGGGCTGTTAGAATTGGATTGTGAGTTTTAGAGGTGGAGCAATGAAAAAGGGGTGTGTTTGATGATAACACTCTATTCTTCAGATAATGTTTGAGTTTTGCGGTTTCTCCATAAGTCTTATCCATTATTTCTCACTCGCATGTGATTCTAGGGCTACCAATACTTCATGCCTACATATCCCCATTTGGAAGGAGTAGGCCTACAGGGTATGTGACATGAACAAGCAGATGCTTTTACATTTGAGAGTTGCATCTGAAATTCTTCTTAAACCAGAACGACTGGATTGAAATACCAATTGGATGGGTCTGTTCATCTTGGATTGGTCTGTTCATGGTTGAAAAGTTATGATGGCGAAGTGTAAATATCCCCAGGTACTCAAGCTTACTTACACATCATTTACAAAGAGGAGTTACAAAGAGGAGCGAAAAAAAAAAACAAAACAAAAAAACAAGATGATGGCACCTTGGCTTGAAGCTATCCCAAACATATCACAAAAATACACAGCAACACTGCAACTGTTTTGTCATATCAAACAATAACCACTTTATTGATTTGCTATGAATGATGTTATCTGCTTATTTTATAAGGTTGCATGCATAAACAGTAAACTGTAGGCCACCCCTCACCTTTATTTTCAGCCTTGATTTCTTCGTGCATGAAGTCGTTCTGGCGGTTTCCGAGGACAAAAGCAAGAAAGGACAGGATGAGAGCATCTAGGATGCCGATGATGGCCAGTATGTAAGCCCAGCGAACTGAACAGTTTCCCAGTGTGTACTTTCCTGTTTCCTCTCCGCACATATCCCGGATGACCTCTGCATCCCAGCCATCTGGGAAAATTAAACAGCCCAGCACCAGGCACACAGCTGCCAAGAGAGAAAGGTTGAGAGACTGAGACAAAGGATGATTTAACAAAAAAAGGTAACAAAAAAGAATATACATTACAAAAAGTAGATGTGTGATTTATATGTACACTAATCACACATCAATTAAGAAAAATTAATAGTTTTTTCCAAAAATTCAATATCAGCTTGAAAAAAATATTTGATCATCATTTATTTTATTTTTATTTTTTTTGTTTCTGTGTATATACACAGCTGTAAAAATACTGTAATATTGCACTAGTACATATTCATTCTTAATTCCTAATTCTTAATATTCATTCCACATTCTTAATTTGTAATTATTTTGAGCAACTGCTTGTAGTTCATTTAATTAATAATAAATAATGAGGGTGTGGGGGTGGTAGTGAAACTGTAGGGAAATGCACTAGGGCCCATATAATAATACTACAATGCTGTTACTTTATGCTGTTACGATGTTGCTTTAATGCACCTCAATACACTCGTTTTCAAAGTCCTGGGTTGTTCCTAAAATATGGGGTTGTACAGGTGTAGAGCAGGTGTCCAGCAAATTTGATGATGACTGAGCACTCCGATAACTATTTTGGTCAAACATTTTAATGACTTGTTTGAGAGAATGTACTTATTATCTACATACATGTTTTTACATTGTACTTATATTATTTTAGTTACCTGCATTACATTTGTAACTAATTTGTTACATCTATAGTTACACAGCTGTCCGTCCCACCCTTAAACCTATACCCATACCACCAAACCTGTCCTTAATCTTACCTATATCCACCTCAAAATAGAAATAGCAGCACAAGTGTTTTAAAATTCAACATGAATACATTAAGTACACTGAATTAAAAAAAAAAAATGTTTGTAAGTACATAACAGTTAAATACACCTAAAATAAATTGTAACAACTATTTTTAGATAATGAAAAGGTTGCAGGTGTCAGATTCAAAATCTGTGTGATTAATCAGTACTAGTTAAAGGGGTCATGCCAGTGTTGTAGTCAAGACCACCTCACTCGAGTCCGAGTCGAGACCGAGACCAGTGAGGGTTGATTACCTAATTTACTTTTATTTACTTAGAGAAATCCTTTTTTTTTTTTTTTTTTTTTACTGAATTTACTTAGAGTTTAAAAATATGATCAGTTTAGGGTAAAAAGGCCAGGTGGTGTTAAAAGTAATTTTATTACAATTTGTCATGCGCAGTTGCGCACTAGAAAATCACCAATCACTGGGCGTGTCAATCAATTTAAAAAAATATTTTATTAACATACATTAATAATCATGAAAAATATTTTTAATTGAACTCGAGTGGACTCAGGAATAATTCCGAGTCCTAAAAAAAAAAAATGTTCGAGTACGAGTCAATTCCGAGTCCAAATGGACACGAGTCCATGACAAGACCAAGACCATTAAAATATGGTCTCGAGACCGAGTCCGAGACGAGACCGAGTCCGAGTCTCGAGTACTACAACACTGGGTCATGCATTCAGAAATACCTACTTGAACATATAAAATGACATAGACCTCTTCGATAAATTAGGCTATCTTTAAACTGATAAGCCTATGAGATTTACAATATCAATAATGTTGGCACTTTACTAGCCGAATATCAATCTGTTGTGAAGACGATAATGTGCATTTCAAGTCCCCTCAGTTTTATTTATAAATAAACAAATAGAACCTCCACCTTGCTGCTGCCTTAAATTTTAATCTGTTCACCTCAGCCTTCATAATCAATAGTTTCCATTTCCAACTAATTTTTCAATAACGCCAGCATTCACATAATTTCCTTAAAGAATTTAAGTTAGTTCCATGACAAAGAACTCTTTATCTATTCCACTACAACCCTCTGTCAACTTCATTACTCTTATCACTATGAGTCTCTTTCACACTCTCTCCTATCCATAATCCCATCCCACTCATAAGAACTCCAGGACTGTAATAAAAATAATTAGGCAGAAGAAAGACCAAAATCAGTAATCTTGTGTCTAATTGTAATATGGATAAATCTTTATAAATATTTTCCTTGCCCACACAAACCTCATAAGCCTTTTAGATAAGCTGGACACATCTGCATTCAGGGTAGGGAGGGATCTACTGTGACTGTGATTCCAATTCCAGCCGCGTCAAATGTACACCCACAGTGACACAGCTCTGCTGACTCATTTAATGTCAGGCAGGAGTGGCATATCCTCTAGTTTACTGTCTTGGTACTATGCTGGTTGACACTTCACAGACACAACTAGCATGACAATGCTAATCATCAACCCACTGACATGTCTTCTGCCCCAACTAATGAGTGACCTAGAGAGGAGATTAGTCTGGTCCCAGTCCGTGATTCTGATTGTAGTGTCTTCGGCCCAAAGTTGTTCATCATATCCTCATGATTTGTTGGTGTTTCTGCACTAATGTCTTTAACCCAATATGCACAATGATGTATGAGGTTCAAAGGTTTGGTCAGAGGAATGTTAAGCTCCTATCCTACATAAGTGAATACAGTAGGGGAATCCACACACACATAGTAGTACGTTGAGTGATATGATAGTACATGTCTGGGAGAAGTTGTGCACGGCTGCACGCAGTCCACTTTTGAGGGATTTGGTTGTACCTTTTAACACCCCATTCGCCTGGAGTTGTTAGAATACAGTGCCAATGTCAGCTGCAATTTTCCCTGATGTTGAATTGGTGTCTGGGCCGTCGGGGAGAGTGGGAACTCTGATTGGATGTTCAGTTTAGTAAATGAGTCAATGCACAAGAATTAAAGTAAAAGCTATGGATGTTCAGTTTAGCACAAGAATTAAAGCGAAAGCTATGAATGACAGCAAGTAAGTCAAGACGGCACATCTATTGTTATGTTATTCTACCCGAGCATTCTAAAGCGCAAATATATTCATAATAACATGAGCCGCTTAATATGAAGACGACAAATGTGATGTGCCTAGCTGTTGAAGATCCCCTTTCAATTACCATTAACAATTATAATGAGTTACAGTACCCTGGCTCTAATATAACAAACAACCTCAGCATGGACGCTGAGAAAAACAGGACAAAAGACTTCATTACTCGCAAGGCTGAAAATGCATATCTGTTAAAACACCAAACTGACATGTGCTCTAAGAACCTTGATGTATGGCTGTCAATAGACCCTATATTGAAAACAAGAAAAATTGAAACCTTTGTCACATGTTATGGTTGTATTGTGGCGCATTCTTGGCAGCAAGTCGACCAACCGAGTTACGAGGTCTTGGACAGTGGTAACAACCCAAACTTGTTCATGCTCCTTAGGCAGGAGCTCCTTAGGAGTTGACTTTGCTTACTGTGCCTAGTGTAGGATTACAAATTTATTTAAATGTTTAATTTAGATTTCCAATACAATAGTATTTTATATTGAGCATAAATGATGAGACCAAGAAAATCTGGTCAGACTGGGGGTTCCCAGCGGGATATTCCTGACTGTCCCGTCTCAGTACGAGAAGGCCTGTCCTTCCTGCTCGCGTGTCTCAACTTTTGAAGAGTCATGCTGAGCAGGTTTAAAAACCATGTTACCTTATCACTGAGACCATTTGTCAGATTTTCTCCACTTCTTTGTAACCCCTCCCCCCCTTAAAAAGGTATATGATCACAAGGTATTTGCCTTTAGTCAGACTTGGCTATGATTTTTGGAAGAAGCAAACTACAGCAATGCAACAACAATAAAGTACCCTGCTTAAAAAGATAATTATGAACCTCCTGGTCTTCGCTTCTGAGTTTTCAAACACGTTAGAAGAAAAAGTTCACCACATACTGACTGAATCAAGGGAGGATCATAAAAGAACATCTCTGTGGAGAGCTAGTCATTGGAAAGACATGCAGTCAAAGACACCCTCATCTATGCTTCAAGGATGTCTGTAAGTGAGATATGAAGGTACAAGAGCAGTAGCGGAGTGGCAATCGGGAGTGGCAATTTTCCCGGTGGGCCGGTAGTGTTTCGAGGCCGCGAGGGCCGGCCCGGTCTGATTAAATATATTTATTGGAAGTTCGCCATGGCCCAAGCTAAGGGAAGAAAACATTTTTTTTTTTTTTACATTTTCTATAACGGAGCATATATTTGCACTAAGTGCCTGTCTTTACAGCAAAACGACACCCATCTTGAAACAGCCTCAGTGGCGTAGGTCGTAGGGCGTGAAGTACTTGAAAGCAGCTTTTTGATGCGCTGAACGCGAGTTTGAACCCGCCTTGACGAACTCTCTCTTCTCCCTTTTCCCAACACAGATATGTAAAGATGTAAAATGTAAAACCTAACATTAAGGTCTCTAGCGTTTTATTTTGCCAACAAACTAAAATTGAAACCATGAATATATAGGGCCTTGCGCCATTATAATAACTGACATTAAAATAGCATCCAGTTTGTGCTGCGTGATTACTTTGCTCACGCGATCATCATGGTCAGGCTGCTGGTGTTTTCTCCTAAATAAAAGCTCAAGGGTTTACTTCTTGCAAGTGAAGAAATTAGGACAAAAGTTTTTGGGTCCCACTCCGCCCCTGTACAAGAGGGTCCGACAACGCTTGCTTCTGCAAATGGTCTGCACTCAAGCAACAGTGGGAGTTGCAACCTCAAACTGAACAGAGGTAGACATTCTTATCTCTCTATACTCTCCCCAAGAATCTGTTTGACCGGATTCCATATAGTGTCGAGACAGACTGATCATTATCAGTAAACACTACATAGGCACATAAAAAAATACGTACTTCCTGGACTTTTCCGAAAATGCTTATCTATGCATAAGAATCTCATTTTGTATATTTCTTTCAAATAGTCTACTATAAAGGTCTTAGCCTTGCTCATATTCCTGCAAAAGCACAGCCCCCCAGGCCAAAAAGGTTGGCATGTATCCTATAACAAGGTCTTTGGCCAAAACTGGTACTGAAACTAATGCATATTATCTCTAGTTTATTCTTCTTTTAGTTTCACACTTTATAGTCCTAAAAGAGTGTTCACATTTGTTATGCTTTTTTATCTAA